TTGGCTGGAGAAGAAAATGGCATTAGAATTTTGTTCATGATTTCAAATTTCTTATTCTCAGCATCAAGCCTGCTTGGTTCTTTCGTAAGTTTTTCTTTTGGAATTTGCAGAAATAACTCCTAAATGCGATGGCAGAATTTTGGTTGGGATGCTTTCCGAGACTAAGTATGACAGGCTTTTGTCTTGGTTTTAAGTTTTGCAGTTTTTTGCTGAATTTTTTGTCGCAGATTTTGTTTGTTGTTTTTTTTAATAGTTGTTAATATTAGGTATTGTCAACTTCGTTCTTGCTTACGCTCATCCAGCATCTTGTATATCCGGTAGCCAACATGGAGAAGAAGTTTTTTAAAAATGAAACAGGCTTTTTTGCATGTGAAAGAGTTCGAATGGTCCGCGCTGTATCACTAATGAGTGGATAAGTTGGGATGAAATTTTGCTGAATTTTCCATGTATTGGTTGCTGCAATATTAATATTTACAGTTGCACTGGCCAGTTCGAGTGTCCGAAAAGCGATGTTTCATGAAAGTGTTTCCGTCAGTGCTTAAGCTTAAGAGTGTTGGTGAAATTCACGTGCCCCTTTTGTGTCGAATTTCTTGTTCAGTTCAACAAGCGTTTGCCACCACCCGAACTGCTAGCTGGAGTGCGTAATCAGTGACACAAGGCAACACCAGTATGAGTGTTCCATGCAGTGACACATCCAGTGGAGCACACCTTGTTACCTGTAGTCTTTTACATTCTTTCGTTCTCTTTCCTCCTTTTTTCCTCTTTGCTTTTTACGCCTCCTTTATCCTTCCTGCTGTTCCGCCATCGCTTCCTAAAATTCTTGCATGTGACGGAGGGCGTTTTTTGCACTGCCTGTAAATATGCAACATGCTTTATTTTACTTCTGAACACATTAGCTACTCATTTTTAGCAGTTCCTGTGGGAAGCAGTTGCCAAGAATTTCCGAGTACTCTGTACGGAGGTTCGATGTTAGCGCTATTACTGATTTGAGATGCATCCAAGTTGGACGTAGCTATGCCAGACTTTTGAGTCCTGAGTTG